CTTTAAGGGTAGTAAGAATTGTCTGAATTCTGGAAAATTGATGGGTTATTGTATAAGTGTTGTATAATTGATGTACTATGCTGGAAATTGTTGTTTGAGAATTGAAATGAGTGTTATATGTGAAATTGATTGTTTTGGGGAGATTGAAATGATTGGTGATTTAAGTACAACAATTGCATAGTTGGGGTACTTAAATGTATTTATGCTTTTGTAAAAGCATTTGAATGGAAATAATTTCAATGTTGGAATTATTGGTATTAAGAGTTTAAGTGGTAAAATGGTGAAGATCATTTTGAGTAAATTGGAAAAGTTGGTTCCAATGTTAAAAGGAAATTATTGAGTGTTAAGTATTTTGAAAGGAAATGAGTTTCAATTATATTATAGAGTTATTTCGAGATATGTTTATGTTAGTAAAATACTAACATATGTATTGTTATGAAATTGTGATTTATACAGATCATGGTTGATTTGCAATTGAAGCAAGTCAAGTATAAAAAGGGTATATTGTGGATAATAGTGAGGCTCATATATTTTGAAAGACATAAAGTGTCAAGGTGAGTGCAATACATGCATGAAATTATACATGAATTTTAAACGGTAAGTATGTTAGTAAAATAAGCTTACGAGCTTATGGGATAAATGGTAAGCGATTTTATATTATTTTGATCATGGTAAAATGATTTTATGGAAACCCAATTTTTGACATTGAAAATCATGCATGAATTGTATTGCACTGTTAAATGTTTTAATTGCCTCACTAAGTTTATACTTAGCGTGTGATGATTTTCACGCGTAGGTAAAAAGCAAAGAATAAGTAATAAGAGTTCAAAACGCCATCAAGCACCGAAAGGTATATTTCAATATCAGTAAGACATCCTATGATGGAATTTGATTTAGATAGTGGCATGTAAATTGATAATGTTAAATTTATTTTGTTGAATAAATTTTGGAAATTGTTATAGTGATGAAAGGTTAATTTTTATGAGATTTATATGAAATTTTCGAAAGTTACTGTAGCATGAACAGTAACCCCGATTTTAGCAAATTTCCATATTACAAAAGGGGAACCGATTCCCCTGCTACAGGGAATCGATTCCCCCACTATTCACTGTTACTGTTCACGGGTACTATTCACTATTCATATAAAATAAATGTTTTGAATTAAATTGTTTACAACGAAACATGATTTATATGACATGGTATTTTTATAATATTATTTACTGTTTCAATTAAATAAATTTTAAATCGCTCTCAAATTATGAAATGGTTTTAGAAAATACGGGTGACATCTATAATCTGTATAGGTATAATTATACGGGTTATGGGTGTTACAGTATCAATACCCCACTTCAGTACCGATACTACTTGCATAAGTATCAATATTGTTCATCGTGTTCATCCTTTTTCCTCAGATTTAACCCCATAGTATTGGTATTGTTCTTCCACTACCGATACCTTTACTCATATTTTACATATTTCACTTCGATTTTTACCACATTTTTTGCCTAAATCTCTTACTTTCACCCCCAACCGCACCATTAAACTCATCATTACTTAATCCAACTAACTTACATTCATAAATCTTCTTATAACATCTAAAATCTCCAAAGAATACTCAAAACTAAGAATCACACCAATTTTTTAAACATGTTTTTAATCACTTCTAAGGCTCCAAATTTCTTATTCACTTCTTTGACAAGTCAAAAATGCCTTTAAACTTCCATAATTGACCATATTTCATCAAATCATTTAAAATCCCATTTTATTAAATCTCAAATAAAACCTTCATCTCTTAGTTTTAATCCTCCTCGAACTTTACTTAGGCCTCTATATCACTTAAGGTTTCAAAACCAACCCAAAACGAAAGGAAAAACGAACATTGAAGAATCCTTACCTTAGCTATGGAGGGCACGGAACTATGGGGAAGAAGAATGCGAGTATAGAACTATTTTTTTCAAGACTTATCCTCTTTTTCCCCTTTAACCCTTTATTTCCTTCTAAAAGACCATAATGCCCCTCAATTTCTTCCATTCTTACCAATAGGTCTTAAACACAGTTTTTTTAAATAAATCCTTGTACTTTTCAATTTATTCAAATTAACCCACCATATTTTCAATCCTTTCACTATGGTCATCGACCCGATATTTAGGGTATCATAGGGATTGTCCTAGGTTTTAGTTCAAAAATTCCCATAGTACCCTAGGGTACATTCCCCTCACGTGAAAATGGGTACAAAGGTGGCAGTGGTCCCCTCCTATGTGGTTAGCAGCAGAAATCACGTGAGTGCTGAACAACTGTCATTTTGGTGATAATATCTTAAGCTCTTTTGTCTTTTTCTGCGCCCAGAAATGCTGCCCTAGTCATCACGACATTTTCCTTATGTTTAATCATCCCAAATTGCCTTGGCAATTCTCCTTTGCTCACCATTTGGGAATGTTGCGGTAATTCTCCATGATCACCTTTGCTTCATCAACCTGCACATCATCAGCAAAACACAACCTTCCCCGTAAAATAGCAATGCTTACAAAATAATATGTCACGACAAATCTAAACACCAAATACAATAATATGCTTCTAAATACATCTATATGCCCCTACATGAGCTTTAAGAACATCAATAACTTAAGTGAAAAGTCTCTAAATATAGCCTTTTTATGTAGTTATCACAAATCCTTCAACCAAGGATTTTCACTACAAAGGTTAAATCCATACTCTTCAAAGCAAGCTGTTGTACTCGTTCGGAGAAGTTAATGAATGGGATTCCATCCGTCACGCCAACACATACATCATCTTCCATCGGGTTAATTTCATCGTCATCAATGGCTAAAAGTTCTTCGCTTGGGGGGATATCGTGGGAATTGGAAACCATATCTTTGTAGGATACCGAAGAAGGGTGGTTAGGCTGAATGTCACAGTCCGTGGAAGAAGGCTGGGAGGAGCAGAGCGTGGGGAACCATCTGGTGGATCTTCTTCATGACATCTCTGCTTTTTACGGAGTTGTTGTTCGTCAGGGATCTCTGCTGCGGCGTTCATTATTTTTTTTTTTATAATTTTTATTTTTTTTATTGACGTTTTCTACTTAAATAAGTGGACACTGAGTATCAAAACTCGACAAAATTATAAAAGTACATAACTAGATCAATAATTAATGTATATTTACTTTTATAAAGTTTGCTTTTCAGAATGAATTTTCACTCAAAATTTTATAGTTGCATTTGCGAAATAAAAAGAGGAAATATGATTAACAATATTTAATTAAATATGTGGAGATGAATATTTTTTTATAATACTTAATTTTATTATAATTTAAATTTATATAATTTTATAATTATAATTTATAATAAAAGATTGACACAAATAATTAATATGGAATTGCTTTATAATAGTTAAACATATCTAAAAATTCAAAATTTAAGGATATTTTTATGTAGTTATATTATAGTGTATAAATATACCTTTAATATGATTGGCAAACATAATTAAAAAAAATAAATGTTAAATTTTATTTTTGTTAAAATAATAAATAACTCACCGTTAATAAAGATAAGTTAGAATTACTTTAAAAATAATAATTAGCTTTTAATATACATATATATTAAGCTCACTATGTATTTTTTTATCTTTTGGTTTTAGGGCTTCGACCTAACGAATTCGAACCAACTCGAGTCGTACATTGGCTTTGGCGGATGAATCTCCCAATGAAAATTTTCTACATAAATACTCGAACATAAAACTTTGCTTAAATGATATCAAGATATTTACCACTTGAACCAATCTCGTTAGTAGTTGACTACGTATTTAATTGTGTCGAAATCTAAATACAAAAGCAGAAATTCATGCTTAGTTTTATATAACTATGCATTCAGTCATTCAATTATTCATGTAATTTTATTTTAATAATTTAACTATATTTTTTAAAATCATCTCTAATGTTACGCTTTAATTTTTTTATTCACTCATTATTAAAAATTAATAGTGATGCTGACGTATCACTATAAGATAATACAGTAACGGATCTGGAAATATTTTTTTAGAGTGGACACGCATATGCTAATCACATAAATTTTTCGAATGGCGTGGACACAAATAATATTTCAGGGTGTGCACCATCAGTACAAATAAGAAACTAATCGAAGAAAATTTAAATTTTAAGATGGACAAATGTCCACCCTGAATTATATGTAGCTCCGTCACTAAGATTATAATCATTGAAAAATAAAAAATATCATGTCATTAGTTCTATTAAATTTTTAATTTTTAAATATAAAATGATTAAAATAAAATCAAAATAATTTTGAGTATGATTTTAGGGGAAAAAAGTATTTAATGATGAAAATATAATCAAAATGATATTTTGAATGTGAAAAAAGTATTTAATGATGAAAATATAATCAAAATGATATTTTGAATGTGAAAAAGTAGTCTATATTTTTAATTTTCTGACTGCCGGAAGTCTTTCAAGGAAGCTATTCTCAATCTGACGTTGGGGGTAGCCTACTACCCTACCTCCCCTTTACCCCATACATATGAGAATTGGGTTTTGTTGTTGTTGTTCTTAGCTGAGCTGTCCACATCGGCAACATTGAACGGACGTCCCCCAGTTCGTAAATCGATAACAAGAGTAAGGGTATTGCCGACATTAAGATAATTCCGCCCGCCTCTCGATTCTTTCCCATCATCACAATTTTCCTCTACAACCCAATTCACCGTGACGCTCAAGGGACGGTTTCTTTTTTTCTTTTTTCACCTCACGATTGAGACTAAAGAAGAAAGTCTAGGAGGGGGAAAAAGGATAAAGAAAAAAATATTATTATATTCATGGACAACGATTAGCTTAAAACCAAAGCCATGGCTTCAAATTCAACGAATGTAAACCCTACCGAAAACATCGAAGACTCTAAAGCTAAAGAAGAAGGCGAGCTCTCCGATTCATACGACGACGTAATCATACTTCTCTCTCTCTCTCTCTCTCTCTCTCTCTAACCCTAATTTCCTTATACATCTTTTCTTCGTTTGTTTAACTGGTTTTTGGCTGCTGTCGAGATATAGGGAAGTGTTCATTTCTATGAAAAATCATTTGTCCAAGTTTACAGATTTATTGTGCATATATATATGGTTTTATGAGCTTTTGATTATGGTAGCGGGCTGTTTGTGTTTGGTTGCTGAGAAATCGAGGAGAAGGGAAAGAAAATATTTCATCGCTTTCTGTCTTGAATAAGATAAATGAAGGTCGGAGTCTTCTTTTTTTCGTTGTTTAAGTTTTTTCTTTTTTGAGATTTGAAGGCTAAATAGATTATATTTGTATTTTTTAGTATGCTTATTTACGTTACACTCGTTGCTGTTGTAAAATATTGGATCCGAAGCAGAGCTTTTAGTGGTAACTTTGTTTCGTTTGAAATATACGAAGGTCTATCTTGCTCAATATATATTTGTCTATTGTTTCGGGTTCTTTTTTTTTTCTTTCACTTTGTAGCAAAAGTATGTACCAGACTTTTCTTGTATTAAATGATTTTTCTTTCCAGGCAAACCTGGATTACTCCACTGCACAGTCTAGTGGTACTATTGCCCCACCTACGAGGCCTAATGTAGTGCCTTCAGCAGTAAAACCCATACTACCAAATCTCTCTGGTAAGTCCTAGAGGTCGGTGACTAGATTCTCAGTAGCTTCAATGTTTCCAGCGTATTCACAGATTATTTTGTTGCAGCTGAAGGCCATTGAAATGCCTGTTTGTATATTAGTATTAAAACTCATGCTCAAATTGCACTTCTAGGAATTCAGTATTTGGATGCTATTTGATGGTTTTGCAAGTCTTTTTATGTGCTTAGTTTTTTTTTTTTGCTGATTTTATTTTTCCTCTGCTGGCTTCACTACATCTGGAAAATGCGTTTTACCTACAATATAAGATGTTTTTCTAATATTGTGAAAACAATTAAATGTTTTCTGAATTTTAATATTATATTTTAATGGTTCTGCTGATATATAGGGAATGCTATTGCTGGAAATAATATTGCCAGTGCTGCTGACGCTCTCTCACAACAACCAATTCCACCAATGAATCAGAAAAATGTTGAGAAGAATCCGTTGCTAGTTAAATCCACTAATCGTAGTTGGTATGCACCTTCTGGAGTCGGCAATAATCTTGTAATACGCTTCTCAGATGATGACAGTGGAAGTGACTTGGAAGAATGCAGTCGACAAAAACCTGTTGAAAATAAATCCAACTCAACTTGGGATGGTTCACAGAGACCCCTAACTTTATCTGCACAAAAGATAAACAACTTAGGACAGACTTCTAGGAATATTACCAGAGTAATTCCCAAGAAACCTTTAAGCCGTACATTTACCTCATCCATGACCAAGACCAATGGTGGGGCCAATTCCAAGGTTCTTGTTTCTTCGGTTGATCAAGGATCACAAGTTAGATATTTTAATTCCCGCAACAAAAATGTGGCATGCCAAGATCTTATGCCTGAGCAAGGTGTAGTTTCTAACAGTAGTAAACTACAGGACTTGAGGCAGCAGATTGCACTTCGGGAAAGTGAATTGAAGCTTAAGGCTCAACATAAGGAAACAGCAACTATGAACCTAGAAAATAGTGGAGGAAGGAAGTGGATTGCAACTTCAGTGTATGCTGGTTCAATAGATCCAAAAGAACCACAGAAGAAACGCTTGAAAGCCGGCGATTCTAATTTTACCCAGTCAAATTCAGGTGCCCAACCAGAGGTACGTTATGTAAAATCTAATTCAGTGCCAAAAGACCAAAAAATGGAGACAAACAATTTTCATTTCAAGGATAAGGTTGAGCAAAGCAAGAAAGTAGCTCCAGTAAGCAAAGCCATGCCAAGCGTTAAATGGAAAAAGAAAGATGACAAGCTGGTTGATATTTCATCAGATGATACATCTAAAGTGGTGAAGGATGGTAAAAGAAATTGTTCATCCTTTTAAATTTTCTTACAGAATCCTGTGGATGCTCTGACTGACATGGTTCTTTCATCCCGCAGGTGTCGACTTGCTTAAGAATTTGCAACAATCCAAAAGGTCCAGTAGGGTGGTTGATCCAAGTGTTTTAGCAAATAAGACTGCAGCTTTAACAAACATAAGTGCCACTGCTATGCCAAATAACTCGGTAAGTTAACGTTTTGAGGTGAACTTCACTGAAAATGTTTCTTAAAACTAATACTGGCACTGTGTGGTTATAACATATCATAGCTGCTTTCCACCCTGCTTAAATGTCATAATCGAAATATTAAATGAATTTCTCCCGTCCTATGTCGCATCGGATGGGCCTTGCTTCATATAATGACTATGCTGAAACTTTACTAACACTGAATTTCAGAAATCTCAGGATACTGCAAGGCTGTGGAACTGTTTGAGTAATGTAAATATCTCTGGTCATTCTAATGTAGATGTGAATATACATTCTTTAATTGAAATTGAGGAAAATCTGGACAAGGAGCTAGAGGAAGCACAAAACCACAGACGCTTGTGTGAAATTGAAGAAAAAAATGCGCTTAAAGCTTACCGGAAAGCTCAGAGAGCCTTGATTGAAGCTAATGCTAGGTGTACAGATCTTTATCGTCAGAGGGAACTTTGTTCAGCCCGCTACAGATCTTTAATTGTGGACAATTCCTGTTTATTATGGTCTTCCAGGAAACATGAACACACTGGAGCTGGATTGGATATCTCAGATGATGTTCCTGAAAATATGAACTTTGTACCGACATCTAATAGACTACTGCCTGCCTATGACAGTCTTCATCAACCCGGGAACGATGCAAACGTCCAATGTATAAATATAGCTCATCACAATATGTCTCTACAGCATAACAATGGACAAAATTTGGGTTCTGAGCCATGCAGTGAGCAGGATGCTAGTACATCAGAGCCATTTCCTCATAATAGCAACAATGCTGCTAATGGATTAAGATCTCCGTGCAGCCCTATTATTTCAGCAGATGAAGGGACATCTCTAATGGACCGTGATTCTAATCAACCTGGTCTTGACTATCAGCAAAAACAACAAAACTCTGAAGTAATTGAAAAGAATGCAAATAATGAGTCTAGCAATCAGGATTCTTTGCTTCTTGAAGCATCATTGAGGTCTGAACTATTTGCAAGGCTGGGGGTGAGAACTTCATCAAAGAACATTGATTCATGTTACAATGAGCCTTCTATTGAACGAGGGGCTGAAAATGATGTTGAAAGTGAAAAGACCCAGATGAGCAATGGTAGTATTACGCACTCAGAGGCAGAGAAAAAGCATCAATTTGATGTTTCGGGTAGATTATTTCTTCGTGAACAATGTTTTATCAACATTATTTTGGTTTGTTGAAAAATGATTTAACAATAGACATTTCCTGATATAGGCCCTGAAAAACCAAATGAAGTTACACCAGAAGCTGTGGAGAATGAGGACCAGCACCAGGAAAAAAATAATATTCTAAAGTTTGACTCTTCAGCAAATGTAGCGGAAAATGGATTTTCTGCTGGATGTCACTTTTCAGTGTCATCTTCAATATTTTCACCTTCCATTTTGAGGAGTGCAATTGGCCATTTGAAGGCCTTGTCTCCTATCTCCAGACAAAGGGAGGATCATGTCTACGGTGAAGAGGCTGCTTACGTCAACATCGATGAAATTAAACAGTCTAGTCAGATTACAAACTCTTTAGAGGAGGCCATTCGTGATTTATCTGGGAAACGAATGGGCTCATATATGTGCGATATTGCAATTGACCCATCTTGGCCCCTATGCATGTATGAGCTTCGAGGAAAATGCAACAATGATGAATGCCCCTTTCAACATGTGAAGGAGTTGTCTAAGAGAGATACATATCTGAATACAAATGATGATTCTGACAGTGCTGGTGTGAATAATCTTTTTTTTTTAACAAATTTGGAAACCTGTGCTTTGTTGCTAACCTTGTTGAAATAATCCTCTTGCAGATTCTCAGCTTGTTCTGGCATCATATCAAGAGCAAAGTAATGGTCCAACAACACTTGCCAGATATCATGATGTTTTCATTTCACCAACTTATATTGTCAGCTTAGATATTCTGAAAGCTGATCCACACGGATCCGTTGTTCCTTGGGGAAATGCACACTGCTGGTGGAAGTATTTCAGTATTTGCTTATCTCTATCAAGCATTTTTCAGAAAGATTTACCTACAGATGAATCTTTCTTGCATGGTGATGATGGTCGTATCGAAGTATATGGCAGCTGGAATAGACAATCCTCATATTTCCGAAGTAGAAATGGAATAGCGGTTTGTGACACATTCTATTTTATTTTTCTACTCTTGCTTTTTTCGGGGTTTGAGCTATATAATCCTTTTCTTTTGTGTATCTTAGCTTTACAAATTTCCTGCCTAATATTTATGTACAGATGCAGGCAACTTCACTTAATCTCTGTTTCCCCTAAATTGTTTTGTGTACTTTCAAGTATGTGTTGTTTAAGTACCTTTGACTGTGAGCGTAGGGTTGAACTTCCATTTATTCTTTAATAATCTCTTGTTAATTGTGAGATTGAAAGAAATTGGGAAGTCTTGGTTATTTTTCCTAGAATACATTCTATTACTGATTTCTTTTTTTTATACAATTTCCTATTGATAAACCCTTTGGTCTTCTCTTGGGAAAAAACTGGTGCTCTCTCCAAGATTGTCAAAAGCAATGCCTTCTGTTATTTTTCAACTTTCATTCAGTGCTTGCTTCCACTCATTTACATTTATATTTATTTTTATGTATCATGAATGACAATTTAGTGTAGTGTTGTTTACATCCATATTCTAATTAGGACACTCCTTCATGGTGTGTACTCAGAAAAAACTCAACCAATCTTTTGATACGATGATTCAGTCCTTGGAGATGGCTTTGCTTATCCTCAACCAGGAGGTTAACAAATTGGAGGGTATGAAAAAGGTAACCTTAGCAACCTGCAAGATAACATGTGGCTCATATTCTCATACCAACAGTTCTGTTTCTGTCATCAACTCCACTTTTTTAATTTGCAGGCTCTTTCTTTGCTTTCACGGTCCCTCGAGGCTGATCCAGCATCAGAAATTCTATGGATGGTTTACCTGCTTATTTGCTATAGCCGTAGGCTGTTTGTTGGAAAGGATGACATGTTCTCTTTTGCGGTATGTAAATTTATATGCTTCACATGTTCTCTTTTGCAGTATGTAAATTTATATGCATGGTTATAATAATTATTTTGACTCTGCATGTTGGCGACATTCAGATATTGGAGTTGTGGTATTGGTTAAATTGTAACTAATCTGATATGTATTATGTCTATTGGGTTTTGTTGATTCACTCTTCTAATGGTAGTTCGTTTGGCACTAACAGCGTCATAGATATCGGAACTTCTTGGCTGTCGGTGGTTCTCTTCATTTGGAAACTAATTATTTTATCCATCATCTTATGCAAGCTTTTCATATCTTTATTGTCTGTTTTAACCTGCTTGGGGTCATTGGTTTCCATTAGTAGTTTTATCTCTTTGCTACGGTGGGAACTAGACATGTTACAGTAATGATAATTTTGGGATTGGTGGTTTTTAATTTTTGTGTGGGTGGGTGGGTTGTGGAATAGAAAATATCTGTGAAGACTGTTATTATTGCTTCATATGTGTTTGCATGTTTGTTCACGTGTCATTCTTTTCAGTTTGCTTAAGATATTCCCTCAAGTAGTTTTGTGTGTTTGCAACTTTATCTATTATGTTATTTTCAATACATATTCTTTTTATTTTAAAGAGTTCGTTTTGCATTGGTATTAAATTAGTGGTTCTAATTCTATTTAGGTAGCACTTCAAATCTTGGGTATTCCCTTTTTTGTATCCCTCTTACACATAAACTAAGCATGTATGAATGTGAATCTCTGTAAAAATGTGTATGTATAGACATGCATCCTTGTTCCTCCCTTTGGAGAATTCAGATAAAATTCAAACCTTTTGTTTGGGCATACGTCTTCTCTTGGTCTTCAGGTCAGAAGCAATGGAGGATCATATGAACTTTGGCTTATGTACATCAACAGTCGAAAACAACTGGATGATCGATTGGTTGCGTATGAGGTTGCTATTTCAGCACTTTGTCGTGGTGCTTCTTCCTGTGGAAAGAATGTAATGCATATGAGTGCATGCATCTTAGACCTGGTTTTGCAAATGATGGATTGTTTGTGCATGTCTGGGAATGTTGCGAAAGCCATCCAGACAGTATATAGACTCTTCCCTGCTACAGCAAATTCTGATGGGCCTCACTGTTCGATGTTTTCTGATATCCTCACATGCTTAACCATTTCTGACAAATGTGTATTATGGGTTTCTTGTATTTACTTGGTTATTTACAGGAAGCTGCCAGATGCTGTGGTGCAGCGGTTAGAGCTTGAGAAAGAACTCCTTTCAGTCGAATGGCCCTCTGTTCATATAGGCAACGATGAAAAGAAAAGGGTTCTACAGTTGTTAGAAATGGTAGTAAGTTGTGTTGACTCATACATCAATAGCGGATCATTTGGGAGTGAAACTGATGTTAAATCAGCTCAAGTTTTTGCACTCAATCACGTTAAGTGTTTGGTTGCACTCGGTAGTCCTGACTGCAGTCGAAGTATGTTTGAAAAATACAGAAAAGTGTATCCATCTTGCTTAGAACTTGTTCTGATATCTGCACGAGTGCCAAACTATGATTCCGAGAATATGAGTTTTATCAGGTTTGAAGAAGCCCTTCATAACTGGCCAAAAGAATCCCCTGGAATTCACTGCATCTGGAATCAGTATGCTGAATATGCCCAACAGAATGGAAAACCTGATCTTGTGAAAAATGTCATGACACGCTGGTATAACTCGGTTTGGAAAGTTCAGTACCCCGGAAGTGAAAATTTGAAAGCCATAGATGGTGGGAACTCTCTTGTCTCTCCTAAAACGGATTCAATGTTGAAGTCCCACGTCGTGTTACCTAGCACAAATCATACGGATATAATGTTTGGATATCTTAATCTCTTCCTTTACAACTTTTTGCAAAATGATAAAGTTGAGGCTCACTCAGCTATTGACCAGGCATTGAGGGCCGCCACTACTCTCATGAGTTTCAATCATTGTGTAAAGGAGCATGCCTTGTTTTTGCTCAATGATGAGTCACAAAAGAGTGATGTTCCTATTAGTTGGCAAATCACTACGTTGAATATGTATTTGGAAATTGCTCGGTATTTCCAAGTCTGCGAGCCTCTATCTAGACATTTTATCACTGTGATTGAGAAGCCAAGAGTGCAGCAACTTGTTCGAAACATTCTGAGTCCAGTCTCGTCTGATTCTTCTCTTGTGAACTTGGTCCTTGAAGTCTGGTACGGCCCATCACTTTTGCCCCAAAATCTAACTCAGCCAAAGGGTCTAGTCGATTTTGTGGAAGCCATATTGGCATTGGCACCATCCAACTACGAGTTAATGTTTTCTGTGTGTAAAATGTTAAGCCGAGGTGATCACGGTAGGGACGTTTCTTCCAGTATTTTGTTTTGGGCTAGCTCAACCTTGGTCGATGCATTCTTTCATGCAGTCCCAATTCCACCTGAGCTCGCATGGGTCAATGCTGCAGATATAATGGACAATATTCCGGGCATGGAGGCCATACTTGCAAGGTTTTATAGAAAGGCTGTAACAGCATATCCATTCTCCCTCAAGTTGTGGAAGTGTTATTACAATCTAACCAGTAAGATTGGAGACCGGAACATTGTCGTGGAAGCAGCAAGAGAGCTAGGCATCGAGCTCGAGTGAAGTCCCTTTTCCAGGAATCGAGTGTATAATGTTAGGTTGGTATATGCAGAATTTGCCACAGAAAAGACATGCCGTTTTTACTGGAGATGATTTGGATTTTGAGGAAGTTGGTACATATTGAGCCAGTTCATCTGTAATGAGAGAGATTGGTGTGAAAGTAGGAACACGGTAAAAACATACAAATTATAGGAACTGAATTGAAAATAGGAATGATATCTGTTGATGGATACTGAAACTGAATAGGTGAAGATTTCTTGGATATAAATACTACTTTTGTGCTCATTTGCCTTGGTTCCTGTGTTGTGTGATTATCCATATTTTCTCATTTTGGCCGTCACTTTGGTTCATTTTGTTTCCTGTTTGGTTGACTGCGGGTATAATGTGTAAATCCAACCTGGTACTCAAAGCATCATAATGTATCAGGATTAATTAATTTTAATAAAAAATAAAATTTGTTCTCACTACTCTTCGACTAATATTTGAAATGTTTTCATCATTCAATTTTACTTTTTACGTGGACCCATCAAATGGACTTAGAAATCCTGAACTTGTGGAACATATACGTACTTCTTGACGAATAGTTCGTTGAATGTTAGGTTTGTTTACATTCTTAGTCATACTTTGTTGAACGTTCAGTTTGTTTACCTTCTTAGTCATAGGTTCTATTTCCGACCACTAACATGCAAGAAGCATATCAAAGTACGATACTTGATATCCCCGCGCAAAACGCATACCAAATTTGAGGGTGTTTGATCATATATCCAATCTAAAACAATTGATGGAAACTCCAACAACGCAATGAGCTCTTTAAAGACAATATATTTAAGTCACTACAAAATGATTTTGACAATAATCAATACTTAATTTTTCAACATTGAAATCTTCTTGCTTGATAGCATGTTGAAAAATTCAATAAACTGAAAAGTGATATTTTCAATTACTTGCTTTTTTTATCATTTAAAATTTATATTTATTAAACATTCTAATTATATTTGATACTTACTTTTAAGTAAAACATCAAACATATTCTATAATTTAAATTCAACGCTTAATTTTTTAGTATTTCAATTTAATATAAAATAATAATTTTGAGTTAGACAAAATTAACTAAAAATTAATTTTTATCCAAATTCACCAAACAAATAATAATCCAAAAATTATACATTTTTAATTATAAATAAGAAACATAATGATAAAAATGTACACGATATTTGACTAAATAGTTATTTTGGTACATATTCTTTTTTTTAGTATTTTGATCTAAACGTTTCATTTTAGGACAAAACGGTCCCTTCGTGGATGGAACCTATTAGTCAACAAACATTCAACGCTTTAAAAGAGACCTTTTTATTGTAAAATAAAACGTTAAGGTCAGAATGTTCAATAAAAAATAAGGGTAAAGTGGCTATTCAACCAAACATTATAAACCTTCTTACTCTAAAATGAAACATTGAAAATTAAAATAATCCAAAAAGATAGATCTCAAAATAAATATTTAGTTAATCATTAAAGACATTTGTATAGTTATATGTCTAAACAATAATATAGGTCGAACAAATTACTCGTTAACAGAATAGTTCTATTTAACAACAATAAGTTGATATAGTGAGATAAGGTACTAGATTTCTTAAGCAATGTCAGATGTTTGAATTATAACATTTGTGGATAGAACAAACTAAGTTGGAAGATTCGCCATCGTCTCTACAATATCCAATCTGGATTAATTGACTAATAAATCAAATATCAATGGTTATAAAAAATAGGATATAATAGAACCCTTTTAAATTAATACTCGATAAATTAATAAATCTCTAAAATAATAATTTTTCTTGATCCTGACTTAAGCACAAAGTCTAAATTAATAATTTTGATAAATTAATAAGATAATAATTTTCGGAATACCTTTATATAAAATAATAAGATAATAATTTTTCGAAAGACATTTCATTGTTATAAATTATTAATTCTATAAAATAACGAATATAACTAGGAAAACTTTGTAAAATATGATTTTATTTTTGTTTACTTCTTAAAATTTAAATTTAGTTATATTTTATCTCTAATTTTTTTTTCTGCATCTAAAAGTTTTAATGTTATGTTCTCATACTACAACAAAAAAAAAATGAAGAATTGTTGTTGTTATGCGTACTTCCTTCTCCGTAATTAGTTGCAAAGTTGTTGTATCATTTACAGATTTATCCTCAATATGATTTTCATTAACACTAGCTATTTTAAAACTTTGAACCTTTAAACAATTTCACTCGGATAATTTAATAGATGATTCACTTCCATTTTGTTATAATAACCAAGGGCATTAACTATCTCTTTAAATTAAGGCTAAATATAAAAACAAGTGCCTAAATTATACTCAAAATTGATTTTTGGTGTTTAAAATTTTTTTCGTTAAAAATAGATGCATAAAATTTTTTCGTTACGCTTTTAGATATCTATCTTTAAAAAAAATTGTTAAGTGACACGTGTCATGTCTTAATTTTTTAAAAATAAAATATTATTTAAAAATATTTTTTTAAAAATATAGATATTACACGTGTCACTTAACAATTTTTTAACAGTAGACACCTAAAAGTATAACGAAAACTTTAGACACCTATTTTTAATGAAAAATTCTATATGCGTTAATTTTTTTTTCGAGGCATAATTTAGGTACTTATTTTTGTATTAAACTTAAATTAATAAATTATTAATCTATTAATTAATTAATACATTTTAAATTAATAAAATTATGTGATAACGATATTATTTATCTATATATTTTACGGTGGTTATATTCAAAGTAGCAATTAGCCCGGCCCACCGAGAGGGGAAAAAATGTCGGCAAATGCAACTGGAGGAATTATGGTATAGTGACGTCGCGCTAAGTTTCGGGATAAACTATATATTTAGTATCTAATCTATTAATTTTGGTCTATTTTAATACTTAAACTTTTAAATTTTTCAAACTTTACCAAAAAGTTAGTTATTGTTTCATTTTAATGCAAAATTGTTAAAAACTTAACGCGTTGAGTACTTAAACTATCAATTTTGATTCATTTTAGTACCTAAACTTTCAATTTGTTTTCAAAAGTTAATGTTGAATTTTGAAAAAAGGTACTAAAATGAAATAAAACTAAACTTTAGGTATTATTTTAAAAAAGTTAAAAATATAGATACTAAAATGAATCAAAACAGATAATTTATGCACTAAATGAGTAATTTACCCTAAGTTTTATGTAAAGGCTTTAAACGTGTCCATCGTTGATTGGGTTTCGTGTCTCGAATCTTGACGAAGACTTATCGAATCATTAATATTTTTTTATAATAAAATATAGTTTTTTTTTCTATATAATAATGCCAAGTGCAAGGCAAAGAAGCAATCGCTCAAGCCCTAGGATAGTAAGGTTCGTTGTCATTTGGTTTAAGCTTCAGGCCTCTCTTTTCCCTCTCTTATTTGATCAGGTAATTTTTTTCTTTAATTTCATAGATCTTTTTACCCTAATTTTCTATTTTTTTAATATTTTTGTTCGGTCAAATTTTCTTGCTTGATTTTGATTTCATGAGCTTCTTCCTGGAAACCCTTTTTTTAATTTCGTTTCTCAAATATTAGATTGTGTTTCTGTTATTTTAATATTATGACTAGATTCGTCTTTTCATGATTTTCTTATCTGTTTTCCGTTTTATTGTTCGACTTCAGTGCAAGAAACGATCTGTTTGCTTTAAGATTTTGATTGGATTTAGAAAATTTGAGTCTTATTCTAGTTGCTTTGAATTTTATTTATTTGTTTGTTTTTATGTGTCAATTTGATACTTTTTTTAACTTGGGTTAAAATATGGTTAATGTCTGATTTACTTATTTAGTTGTAGAGTATTTGATCAATCTGAAACCAATTTTTTGCTTGCAGTTGCAGGTTAATTCTCACTGCTTTTCTTGTAGGGTTTTTAGGTAGACAATAAGAAACGAACTGGTTTCAATTTGGGGATTTCACATTTTGAATAGAAACTGATTTCCGTAGTTGTTTTATTGGAATTTGGAAGTTAATTTTCATCTAAAAGCTGTGAAGAGGAGAGAGGCTTCAATTTGTGAAGCCAAATATTGCTGATCATGCCGGTATCTGGAAATGAAGAGGTGATTTTTAATTTGACCTCTTCAGTTAGTAGAACCTAAGCTAAGTGAAAGAGTTGCTATATTTTTGTTTGTTTTTGTGTGAATTTTGATTTAATTATGTTTTGTTGGTAGGTTGGGGTTAAACCCAGTGTTGGGCAGTTTAGTGAATACACTGCAGGTATTCCTATAAAGAAAAGAAGGTTTCCCTTTATTTTGTCACCTTCTCAATCAGCTGAAAATTTGCCTTCGCTGCCCACTGAAAACGAATTGGAGCAGAAAGGATTTTCTAGTCTACTTCGAGGTTCAACTGTTTCGACTGATACTATTGTTGCAGCGAGTTCAGACCCAACTGATGTTTTATTGAGTTCACATACCAGTGGTGTATTATCCAGTTCGAACGCCAGTGACATTGCAGGGAGTTCGAAAACCAATGTTATAAAGGCTGATGGTTTTACGGCAAGTCTGGATAGTGGTAGTTTTGTTGCAACTTCTAATGCTTCTGGTGTTGCAACGAGTTATACTAGTGTTGCCACATGTTCTAATGCTTCTGGTGTTTCAATGAATTCTACAACTATTAGTGCTGCAGCTGGTAGTGTTGCCGCAAGTTCTAGTGCTTCCAGTGTTGCAATGAGTTCTACTTCTGTTAGTGTTGAAGCTGGTTTGAATGCTGATAATGTTGCAGAAAGCTTTAATGCTTCCAGTGTTGCAATGGGTTCTACTGCTATTAGTGTTACAGCTGGTTTGATTGCTGATAGGGCCGTGGAAAATCCTACTGCTAGTAGTGTTGCTGGAAGTGTCTTGGGTAGTGTTTCTAGCTGTTCTGAAGCAAGTGAGAAATTTGTACTAGATAAAGAGAAGAGTGCTTCGGATGATACAAATGGTAGCATGGTGCAGGGTAATACTAATCTGCTTAGTGTAAAAGTTGAAGAACAAAGTTTTGCAGTTCACTCTAGGTCTTTGGTTGATATCAACAGAAAAGGGAGGCTCATGGCAACTGGAGCATCCGAAAATACCCCGAGGATATCAGCAAAACTTGAACTGGACTTGGTAAGCAATGATTCTCTCACCATTAACATGGGGAAAGATACGTATAGTCAGAAAAATGTAGATGGGACTCTAGGATCACAATTACCGGAAGTTCCTGGGAACCCTGGATTATCTTTAGGTCTAGGGGATTATCTTTCAGCTACGGCTAGTGCAAATAATGAGCAAGGTTTTCAGAATCAGGAAAAGGAAGAACCTGTTCCCTTGAATCTATCTTTAAGCAAAGCAGACTGCATTGCTGAACTGAAAAGTACAGAAGTCCAGACTAATACTAAGGGTGCTAATATGCTTGCTAATAGAACAAACTGGGATTTGAATATGACAATGGATTCTTGGGAAGGTCCTGGTGATGATGGTACAAGTAAAATGACAAATCATATGGATGATATAAAGCCGGTAATTTGCTCAGCTGGAATGGCTGCTGCAAGCATGCCTGCACAGCAGCAAATTCGTGAAGAAATTGAGCGCAGAGCCAAAATTGAAATGTTATGGGTACCATCTAGCCAGCAGTATAGATCTGAGGATTCACTTTGTTTGGGCCTCGCTACTCCTTATCTTCATTTGAACCCCAATGAAATACTGTCAGGTTCATCAGCTAAAGTTGTTTCAGGCGAAGTTGCTGCAAATATCAGTTCAACTGGGAAACCAGTACCTGCTTGCAAGTCGAACATGGTTAACTACAATCCTGTAAAATCAGAACCACACGATGAGAGCGCAAGGGGTGTTTCTGCTGGAATTTCTGAACCTATGGTCTTGTCAAGTATCGCGCAGGTGATGTCTGAAAAAAATGAAAAGCTGAGTTCAGAAACATTAAAATCTTCAACTCTTAGTACCTTAAATTCAGTTAATTCTATGTCCGTAAAACCTGAACCAGTTTGTGAGAGTAGCAAGAAAACACAAGAGAGAATGGATGGGAAAATGAATCAATCCGATGAGCAAATGCTAGCTAAAGAAACTGAGACCGTTGATGATGGCCGGGTTGCTTCTAAAATAATTTATTCTACTGGGCTTGATGTTAATGAATCAAACGTATCTGGCACACTAGATAACTCTACTTCCCATAGTACGAAGGTTGAAGACCCTGATCATTGCAGACTGAAATCCATGGATGTACAACTGCCTGATTCACGGGGGTTGGTTGAGGGTTCCGCTAGTGATGAGGAAAAAATTAATTTATTGGGTGATGTCTTAGAGGAAGAGTCATATGGTTCTGATTATGAGTTGGATGACGAACAGGAATTAGCTGTTGTTGTGGGTATAGATCATGACCGTAGAGAAGAAGATGACTTCGAAGATGGTGAGGTCAGGGAACCTGTGGAGAACCCCAGGATAGAAGTTCCAATATGTGAGAAGAAAGAGACAGGAAATGGAAATAATGGGGAGACTGCCTTTAAGGATTTTGTAGATCCATCTTCATCCTCATTCGGAGAAAAAGATCTAAGAGAAGACCCTGGATTAACAGGTAATGATAATACCAATGAATGCATTGACACATCTGTCTATGAGGATTTGACTACCGAAGCTGATAAAGAGGTCTTTATGCAAGAACCGTCTACTGTTGAGATGCCTTCTAGTCAAGTTGACAAAAAGAGACCTATTAAAGCCTTACCAAGAAAATTGCCCAATGTATCTGTAAAGGATACTGTTAAAGGGCAAGAGGGAGAACAAACATCTATTCAATTCTCTGATACAAGCCAGGGTACTTCAGCGACCATTGCTCAAGGTGCAGATGCTGCCAGAAGCTCAGAAGGAAAAATCAAGTCTATTTTACCAAAGCTAGAAGCATTTTCAAATGTTGATGATGCAGGTAAAGATGTTGACAATGGAGGTAGGAATCGAATTATAAACTTGCCTCGAGCATCTAATCTGTCATCTCCTGGTAGAACAAGATCTATTTCAGGCAGGGCATTGCAGTCACAAGTAGGAAGAGAGAGGCTGCCTGATGTTGCCCTGGAAGGAGATAAGTTGCATCCTCGAGGGAGGTGATTATCATGTTTTATCATTGCTCTGTTTTATTTCAGTTTGTTTATTTCATTCGATGAGTAATAAATGTCTGTTATAATTTTTCTTTTTTCTGACAATGTTTACCCACAGAGATGAAGCTTGTGCTGACAGTTCACATAGATTCCCAAGAGAGAGAGATCATGTTCATCCATCCAGAAATAATAGAATGAATTTTATGTGTGGAAGAGGTAGGATTTCCAGTCGGATAGTCACCCTGCACGGTGATCAGGATTCAGATTGTAACTTTGCAGGTCCTACAGAATTTCGCATAGTGAGAAATAAATATGCATCTGCTGTTTCAGATGCAGATCTAAACTTTAGTGGCTATAATAATGGGAAAGACGTTGCATATTTTGGTACAGGAAGAGGTGGGAGAAAGATCTTGAATGATTCATCAATTTTCCCCCAGTTACCCCCAAGGAGGCGGTCTCCTGGTGGGAGAGATGGACCTGCAGTACGCGGGCTTCAAATGGTTCGCAGAATTCCGAGAAATCTTAGTCCAAGTCGATGCATTGGTGAAGATGGATCTGAAATAGTTGGATTGAGGCATATGAGAGGTTTTGCTGATGATGATCACACAAACCCAATGTTTGCGCGCTGCCAACCTTCATTTGATGGATTAGACGGTCCTTTTGTGAGGGGGAATAGGGAATTTACTACTGTTCAGAGAAGGGGCCTTCAACGAACTTGTTCAAAGTCTCCTACCAGACCACGAACTCGTTCTCCTAGTCCATGGTCTTCTCTCAGGAGGAGATCACCTGATGGATTTGGAGGGCCTTTGGAATTACCTCTTCGAAGATCTCCACCAATTTACAGGATGGAGAGGATAAGGTCACCTGATCGTCCTTGTTTTAATGGAGATATGGGTATCAGAAGACACAAATCTCCTTCATATTTGTCTCGACCATCTAAAGATTTGAGGGACATAGATCCTGATCGAGATCATGGTCATCCAAGGTCTGGCATCTCTAATAGGAGCCTGTCAGGGCGGGTTTTACTTAGAAACAGAAGGTTGGATCTTGATCCTCGAGAAAGGAATGACGGTGATGATTACTTCGGTGGGCCTATGCAATCTGGCAGGTTTCATGAGATTGGAAATGATGGGAATGGTGAAGAGAGGAGGAGGTATGCTGATAGGCGAGGACCTGTTCGTCCTTTTAGGGCTCCTTATAGTGTTACTGATAGTGAGAATTTTCATCTTAATACTGAGGGTGGCCCTAGATCATTTAGATTCTGTCCAGAAGATGATTCAGAGTTGCATGAAAGAGGAACTGTGAGGGAAAGAGAATTTGATAGACGGATCAAAAAGCGATCAGGGAATGCTCCTCCTAGGAGGGCACGAAACATTGAGGATCACGAAGGAAATTTCAGGCATGGTGGTCAAAATTGGCAAGATGATGGAATCGAAGATGTGTCACAAGTGAAGCGAAAACGATTTTGAGTAGGTTTCTTTATGCCGTTAGTCACTGTTAAATGGTGTAAGTTATCGGAGCAGCAGGGCAGAATCTGTTAATTCTGTTTCCTACATGTTTAGGGATACTATGTATAATGTATACCATTTTTCTCTATTTTCTTCATATTCTAGAATCCCTTGTTTTAGGGTGTAAAATAAAATTTGGAAGCAGAGAATAGAGGGATCACTTGGATGGTAATTGTTTGTGCAATGGAAGTATACGAACTTTGGCTGAAGAACAGATCAAGACACCCATCTGGCATGTTTTGAATGACTCCAACTTTCTCTGTTATCCCTTTGGGCAGACTTTTCTGTGGCAGAGAAAATGCAAGAGCTTGCGTTTTTAAGATTGAAACGAAGTGGGTATGATTTGGTTGATCTATTACCACATGATTAAATTCTCTTTTGTGCATATGCTGTCAAGTTAATCATCACTTCAATTGCAAAAAATGTCATGGCTCATGTGATCTGTAACCCCGGATTCGATAGTATTTATGTTTTTAGATCTCTGTATAGTAACATAGCAGGTAAGTGACATTCAAAGGGGCAATTGGATATTGCCATGAAATTTGAAAACCTATTTTAAGAGAAATAAAGAGATGCGTAGCTGTAAATGCCAGCATTTTACTGTGCAATGGCTGGCCTTTGGAGGTACTTGGACTCTTGTTTCTTCTCAGAAGGACCCATGTTTAGTGAGCTGAGAATTATTGGATCTGGTCTGGATTTTACAGGTTATTATTATGTGCCATGTTTTTGTTTCTTGAAGTATTTGTGTCTTTCATATTTGATTCAACATTAGGACTTCGGCTTGAGGATTATATTCTCTCTTGAAGGACTTCAAATACTTGGGGAACTTAGAGCTAATACATTTTAAGTTCGCTTTACCATGAGATGGAGAAATCTAGAACAGTTTTCTTTGGCGTTATTGCTTCAAGTCAATCATGGTTGCTATTATATTTTTGGATCATTATCGGGTCTCATTTGGTTCAATACCCGAATTTAATAAGGGTCTTAATCTCAGACCACTAGATTATGGCAATAATTAAATACAAAGAACATGATGCCAGATTCTTCATGCAATTTGCATAACAGAATGCACCGATATGGTGCGGATGATTTATTCTTGTTACAATATCAATGGATACTATTGATTGTAAATGTTTGGGGACTTTGTTCTTCGGATGATGGAAAAAAACAGGGCTGTTGATCGATGTGTTCCAGCGGTACCATTCCTTGGATTTAAGTGAGGGCTTTTCATTTTGTTTTCGGTTGGCTTCCGAAATTTAGCTTTGGTCGAGGTTGTGATCCAAAATGAGGAACGCAAGCTTAGGCCTAACAAATTTTGTCCAAATTTGATTACTTGAATCAATTTATCCAACTTGTTACTCGATATAGGTCAGAATTTGGTGAACAAACATGATTCGAAATCGATTCAAATTTGACATTAAATGCTACTCAAATTTAGATGGACCAATATAGATTCGTATCCAATTTAACAGAATTAAATGCAAAGATATTTCAAATTGATTGGGACGGAAAGCAATTGGAATTGAAAACAACCCAAAATGAAGTTAAATCGATTTGAAATTAACCTGAATCAAAATTAACTCGAATTATTAGTAATTTATTTGATTAAACTAAAAGTAATTTAAATAAAAAGTAATTCAAAATGAAAATAATTTGAACTTAATTTACCAAATTTGATCCGAATACAACATTGATATAATTTTTAAATTGATGAATAAAAGTAAATAAATAATAATTATATTTTTAGCTAACTCCGGTAGTGGAAGCTAGATCATTCAAAGACGTGCTTGTCAGTAATAATGAACAAGGAGCGTTGCAACAAAAAACCAACTTTTGCAATGACGACCCTTGTGATAGCAGAAATGGAAGCGATTTTATTGTCAAGGTAGTGGATGATGCAAGCAAGCTTCCAGTTGACCAGGGAGTCTAAAGTCGTCATCCCATCTGTATCTCAAAAGCTGAATTGGAATGGAGAAAGTGCTGCTTGGTAGGATTAATCAAGGGTTTGTATAACATTGATTTAATCCAAGATGCTTCAAGGTCGGATGGGTATAACGTCAAGGTGAGTCCATGGTACGGGTTGTTGGTAGTGGTCCAATTCAGCAGCGTTGAAGAATTAAACGATTGCTGGATTAAACGAGCTGAGATGATTCAATTGTGGTTCGATGAAACGGGGTTATTAGAAGGGTTTGATGGGAAAAGATCAATTAAGTTGTGGGTGTGTGTGAAAGATGTGCTGTTACTGGTCTGGACCGAGAGATTTTTTGCGGAAATCTGTGGCAGATGGGGTAAGGTTGTGAAGATTGCCAGTGAAAGAGCGTTTGAAGATCATTTTCGAGACAACTACAATACAGTAAACACTGTACCATTCAAACGGTTTGAAATTCCCTTGAGTAAGTTATGTACAGAATCTAGAAGAGCTACTGAAGTACTATTTTCAAAACTAAAAGTTTGGCAAGCTATTAATTTGTCTGATGGGTCACGTACTCCGGGTCCCGGCGGTTTCAACTTGGATTTTTATAAAATAAAATTGGGATGATATTAAAGGGTATATAATGGGATTTTTCTCCGATTTTAAGTGGTAAGGTAAGTGACATGTCCTTTAATTTCTCCTTTATCACTCTGATTCCAAAGAAGGATGCCCAGATTGTTTCGAAGATTTTAGGCCTATTTCTCTCGTTGCGAGCCTTAATAAAATTTTGGCAAGGGTCCTTTCTAAAAGGTTGGCAGGGTATATTAGTGAAGTTGTAGGTGAGTGCCAGTTCGCTTTTCTAAAAGGGAAGCAGATTGGAGATTGCTCCTTAATTGCGAACGAAGTTATACATGATCTAAGGAGTAGAAAGAGAGAAGAGATAGTGTTCAAAGCTGATATCAGTTAAGCCTACGACTCCGTCGATTGGAATTTTCTGAATTTGGTTTTACGGAAGATGGGGTTTGGGAAGAAATGGAGGCGTTGGATTAGCTGTTGTATCTCGACTCCTACTATTGCTGTGTTAGTGAATGGTAGACCTTCCAATAGATTCTTCATAAAGCGTGGCCTTAGGCAAGGTTGCCCTTTGTCACATTTTCTCTTCAACATAGTGGGGGAAGGTTGAGTGGATTATTGTCTAAAGCAGAAGAGTGTGGGTGTTCTCAAGGGAGTCCCGTTGGGAAATAATGGGCTGATTATGACCCATATTCAATTTGCTGACGATTTATAGTGTTCTCATAAGCAAGTTTGGAGAAGGTTAAAAACATAAAAAGTGTGTTAGGAGTGTTTGAAGTCGCTGCCGTTTTAATCCTTGAAAAAGACCAATTTATATGGTGTCAATTTGGATGATGATTGTACTAGGGGTTGGGCAGCTGAAATTGATTTCCGGTGGGATTCTTTCCCGTCGATCTGCTTGGGCCTACCTGCAGAATTCTAAGGAACTTTGGTAGCCTGTAATTGAGAAACTCCAATCCCATCTTAATGTATGGAAGGGGACGATGTTATCATTCGGTGACCTCTCATTATTTATCATGCTGGCTGCAGTGGCGGATAAGCTTAATAAATGCATTGCCAATTTTCGTTAGGGGGCTAAAGGTAATAGACCTATATACTGGGTGAAATGGGAGACCATTTGTAAATCGAGAGCTTTTGGAGGTTTAGGCTTTGTGGATTTAAGAATCAGTCACTTTTGAGCAAGTGGATTTGAAGATTCAGAAGTGAGTCGATGTGTTTGTGGAGACAAGTCATTTATGCTAAATATGGGTTTGATGGAAATTTCTTACTTCCACGGCCGGTTCAAAATAGTAAGGTATCGTGGGTGTGGAGAAGTGTTACCTCTCCGCTGTTTAATGATGAAGATAAATTCAATTCAGCTTTAAGTTGTTTGGTGGGAGATGGGAGTAATATTGAATTTTGGAAGGACCATTGGACGGATGTTCCATCTCTAAAAGCGGCTTTCTCTAGAATTTTTGGTATTGCAATACAAAAGAGTGGAAAGATTAATGTATTTGGCTCTGTTAGTAACGAGTTGTAGAGTTGGAATACAAAGGTTAGAAGGCCGTTGTTCCAATGGGAAACAAGCATTTGGAAATAACTTTATGGATTTCATAAATAAAGCTGCAGCGGGAGCGTTTGGGACTGACCAGTTAAAATAGTCGAGAAGTAAAAATGGGTCATATTCGCCTAAAGAGTTATGTGTGGCCGTTGCGTGTGATGGCAGAGTAGTAGATCTAGTGTGGGCAGATTTTTCTCCACTCAAAGTGGAAGCATTCGTATGGAAGGCGATTCATCAAAGATTACCGTCATTATTGGAATTGGCCAAGCGAGGAATCTTAGTTTCAGAGTCTAACCTGTGTTTTTTTTAAGGAAGGAACCGGAATCAATTAACCATCTTCTTTGTCACTGTGTTTTTTGTTGGCGTGTATGGCAATGATGGTGCAATATGTGGAAGATTAACATCATTTTACCTCATGTGAAACTTTCAAAAAGTTCAGTTAAAAGCCAAAGCAGTGTGGATTATGATTTTTTTTTTTGGTTTTTGTAGTCTATATGGTTAACAAGGAATGAGATTTTTTTGAATAATCGTTCATATAGTGAGCGGAGTTTATACGATGCAGCTGTGATGTTGACTGGATTTTGGGTAAAGTTCAAATGGCCGATGCTATTCCTATGTTTGGCTTTGCTCCTACAGGTCTCATTTGAAGTGGTATTTTTTGGGTTGTGGTTTTGGTTCTTGGTGGATGTGTTTTTATCTTTGCCTGCTGGCTGGACTGGTATAATCTATATGATGATTTTGGGACTTTTGGTTGAAGACATTGCTATGCTTTGTTGCGATCTGCGGTTTTCGAATTCCTAGCTAGGTGCACTCAGTTGTTGCTGTTGTGTTGGTGCTTCAGTTGTAGGACTGGATATCGATTGATATGTATGATGAGTTGAGAGTGGGTTATTAAAGATGCTGCTTTTGGTAGAATTAATGGTCTGGTTCTAATGTCCATATCCTGCGTTTTCCATGTTGGCCATTGGTGTTTCGGTTTCAAATTTCTCGTTGTACCTCGTGCTGGTTTTCTTTGTCGAGTTTGGTAGTTATTGTTGTTTTTATGCTGTTTTATCTGATTTAACCGGAGGAT